TATGTTATGATGGTTTCCAAACTACTGGTTTAAATCTAAATTTATTTTCCAATCCATTGTTTTGGGGAAATCTCAGCCCATTTGGAACATGTGTTGCTCACAGGAATCTCTTTGACACACGTTTGTTACATTTTTACTTTTTGTTTCTGTGTATAAAAAAAAAAAACTGCAAACCAACTATCTCCACATGCTGACCTTGAGTAACACTGTGTTTCTAACCAGGATAAAAATGTCATTTGGTAGCAAAAAGTATTAGTTTTTGTGAGGTGTTCCTTTCTTTTTCCCCAAGTCACCATTTCTGAGCAACAGCGGAAGCAAACGCCATAAACTTGATTTTTATATCATTTTCCTGCTGTAAGCTCTGGCTTTAGTTGTGGTCATTTTTTCCTATAATAAAAAAGTCAGAGCTGTAGAACTATCTATAACACCATGAAAAGCGGAAAAGCTTTGATAATTTATTGTACTTATCACGGCAGCCTCAGAACATTGATAGTAAAACACTTATTGGTACAACAGAAAGTTCAAATGCTAATCTTTGTGTCATCTGACCTGTATTATTAATTTTATTACTATTACACACAATAAAGCCCTCAGTCTGCACTGTCAGGGCTTTTTACCTTTTTAGTAGCACTGCAATTATTGTTTAGGAATAAAGGAGAAACGTTTTTTTGTGTGTGTTGTTTATGCTTTTAAAAATATCTAATTATGATCAGATTTAAAGTTAAAGTCAAACCACCAGCAGCTCTTTTAATAAACAGAAGCACAAATCTTTATCAACCTTCATTATGATCATTGTGCAAGTGTTGCTGAAACTTTCTTTTAGTTTTTCTGTGATTGTCCTTTGTCCATCAAAACAATATTTAAATATATGTTCAGGGCAATATTTTTGGAAACATGTATAATGTTTGACTTCTTGGTAAAGCGATACAGTATATCAGGTGAGTCACAGTCTGCTGACTAATTAATGTTCCCACTCTCCTCTCATATCTTAGATTATTGTCTTTGATGTTTGATCCTTAGAGTAAAAAAATCAACATTTTTGCGCTTGTTTTAATATTTTCTCTCATAAAATCGGTTATTTGTGCTTGTAAGCTATTGAAAAGAATTTTAGAAGTTATTTTTGGTTTGACAGGCCACTCATAAGGGTATTCATATGAGATAAGAAAAGTTTTTGCAGGCCAAAAGTGGTGACTTAAAAGACATCTTGTCAAAATATGACATTGATTAACAGAAAAGAGTGAATGTTGAGGGATGAATGACTTTATTAAAATTTACAACAAAAAAAAAATACTGAAGTGTTATTTAAAACAAGCAAAACAGGAGCAAAAACTACTAAAACAGAGCTAAAAGCTAAAATGAGTGAAACTGTGTTGAATTTGTAAATGTAGCTAAAAGCTACACCAAGCAAAACATTAGCCAAAAGCTAAAAATTGCAACACGATTCATTACTGGCAAAAAGAAGCACAAGATTAAAATGCATGCTGAACAGAGAAAGTTTTAGAATAAATAGATCCTAATGTATTTCAGTGAAAACATATTTTGTTAATAAAGTACAATTTTAAGAAATTGTAAGTTACTAATAGTCATAGTGCATCATTTCCTAATGAAGCTGAATATTTTATTAAATGAATCAAAGATCACAAAGTATGTGGATGTAGTTTGCAAAATGTGTGGAAACTATTATAAACAGGAACACAGTGTGAATAACATCTTTAAAAATGTGTGTGGGGTAAGATTAATTTCAATTAGCTGTGATATTAATTAATGTATTACTAGTACATTATTAATTAATGTAACAAACATTATGATATTTCAGTGAGGGTCAGGTAATTGATGGAAACTGATCAAACCTAAACTGGTCTAAATGGATCATTTCTGACATGTAAATGGATTATTCAGACCAAGACTGCCTGTGAGCCGAATGCAATTCTTTAAAATTACAGGCTGAGAAAACAAGTTCCAGCTCAACGCCACACCCTTAACTCAAAGACCAGTTTATGACTTCCTCTTTTATCTTACCCTTACAGGTGATAGATAATCAAATCCTGACTTTCTGCACAGTCAAAAAAGAAGGTTTAAAATTGGGTTCTAACTGCAACCACATAAGATTTTTTTGGCAGCAGGAGCAAGGACTCCTGTTTTTTACATTATGAAGCTTGTCTGCAGAAATTATTGCTGGCATCCTAGGAGCTGTGGAAAATTACCCCAAATTATTGTGACAACAAACTTATCAAGGAGCAAAACTACACAGGTCATAGCATGATTTTTTTTTCTGTTTGTTTGAACTTCACTTTGTTTGAAGAACGCGGACAGAAAACTAACTTGTGCACGTATCTTTAAAAACTGTTTAATTTTAGGCAGTTTTTTTTTCTTGACACCCCACAAGGCTGGTTCTTAGTCCGTTAGTCTCAAAAACATAAAGAAGAGGTAGAACACAGTTAGTGGACTCATTTAGAAGGAATTTAATTTCCAATTCATTTCTGGGGCCGAGATGGGGTAGAGGTACGGCAGTCGACTGGGGACCAGAAAGTCGCGGTTTGACTCCCAGCCATTCCCACGTCTTGGTGTCTCTGAGCAAGGCAACTAATCCCCAATTGCTCCCCGGGTGCTTACACAGCTGCCCACTGCTCCACCTGCGTGTGTCTCAGGTGTGATGGGTTAAACGCAGAGAACTACTTTCATCATTGTATGGGAACAGACAATGATGACCATCTCAGACTTCCCTTCTAAAGCTTAATGGTGAATGCACATTTCTATTTTCTAATCATTTTCTTTTCTTTTTTAATCTCAGAATCTGAAAAATGTATTTGTTATGCAAGTACCAGTGCGCTGCAGTGGCATCAGTAATGATAGTTGGAGACTGCCTGAAGGCAGCCACCTATGCACCTGAAGAGTCTTGCTCTTCTATTAACTTTAACACGGCCCAAACCTCAACATGTACCCCCACAAATGTTATATCAAAACCACTGGCTGTGCGTTTTTACTTTTCTAGGCATGGCAGCTTAATTTGCCATGTTTGGCACCACGTGGCAGTCCTTGTCAAAGTCTCTCCAAGAACTTTCTAGTTTTAGCTGCTGCTCATCGGTCCACCGATCTGCACTCAACTGGGCAGTTTCATTTAAAGTGAACTCGGACAGTCTGCTGCTTTCTTCACTCTTTAAACTGTACAAATATCTACCCCACAGAACTGGTTTGTAAGGACATAAAGTCAAAATCCGAGACATTATTTCAGTTTGTGAGCTGAAGGATGAGATAACTAAATCACGTCACGCTGCTTTGAGATGATAAAACACATTTTTAACCCTTAAAAACTTACTTTAACTTTGTAACTTCGTTATTGCAGCAAGGATGATGGAAAAGGCGAAAAGTGATACTTGATTTTAACCCAGTAACAATTTAGTTTTCAATGGATTCAGTGGATGAACTTGGAACTTGTTCTGTGAACTGCACTTGGAGATCACAAACAGCTGTCACAACCTGTATTTGGACATACAGTAGACATCAATTGATTATGGAAAATTCAAATACCGTACAACAACAACAAAAGTTTCACTGTACAACAACAACAAAAGTTTCATGTAACTTCTCATTCAACAGCCGTCTCTTCTTCAGTAGTCTGTGGACTCCGCACTTGTTTTCAACTGATAATTAGAAAATGCATATAAACTGAACAAAAAGAACATAAAAACTTGCAAAACAACTGTTTTTAAGTATAAATTTGTGAAAATTTAACATATCTATATAAAACTCCTGCATTTCTAATAGCAAATATGAAGTTGTATGGAAAAAACCCACAAAACAAACAATTGTTTGAAAAGGTTGGGCAATACAGAAGACTGAAAATGAAACAGCTGACCTCGTCTCATCTGCAGGTAAATATTTGTTTGACCTCTGCTTGCATTCTGTGGTCACGGCGATGAAATTGTGCAGGCGTTCAACAAGAAAAGGTCATTAGATTGATCCTGTTGAGTTTGAAATACACGTAAAAAGTGAAAAGGACATCTGGAAGTTTAAAACACTTTAATAAAAACACTGATAATTGTAAATCAAAGAAGTGAAATGGAATGGACGGTGCAGCCTCAGTGTTGTCTCCGAGGATGGAAGAACTGTATGAACGTTAGTGGTTTCGGTGTAGTAGTACTTCCTTTTTGTACTGCACAGCATTAGCTACAGAATTTAACAGAAAGTTTTGCTTCAAAAATTTGAAATTCACTCAAATTTATGATCTTCAACATTTTTTACGTTCAAGCTAGGGGTGCACCGATAACAGTTTTCTGGCCGAACACCGACCACTAAAAAGCCTGACCGGATTCTGAGTTTGGCCGATACCGATTTTGTTTTATAAGCGACACTGTCAGGTGTTCTGTCACAATACACCTTCAATTTTCCAATCTTATTTTATTGAAAAACAATATCCTAGAAACAATACAAACTTGTTTTAACTGGCCATGAGGTAGTGCTCTGAAATATAAATGAAGTTTAGACAAAACCACAAAAAAAATCTGTAAAATCGGTTTCTCGTGTAAGTATTGGCCAATCGCCTATCACCCAAATTTAAGGAAATCGGGGCCAATAAATGGGCGAGCCAATTTATCGGTGCACCCCTAATTCAAACATTCTTATCTAAGCAACACGAACAAAATGAAGCATTTCACTGTAATTCACAACTCAACAGGACTTCTAAAAAAATATTGTGTTAAAAAAATAAAAAAGTAACAAAACACATGAAATGAAAAGGATCATTGTAAACTGATTGATCCCCATTCATTTGGATCACTGCAAGAAGGATGTAAGACTTGATTGAGGTGATGTTGATTTGTAAACCCAAACATCTACAAAAATTATTACTTCTCTTGCTTGACTCTAAACAATACAGAAGGCACTTGTGCTGCTGTGTCTTATTAAAAAATATATCAAAAATTCTAAAAAAAAAAATAATAATAAGTGAGCAGAAATGACAGGTGTCATGAGTTGATAGTGTTCCGTCTGTGGTGATCATATTAGGACTCATCATCTGACTGACCACTCAGAGGTCTGACCTGTTTCAGAGCAGCCCTCCCAGGATAGGTTTTTCTCTCTGACCCTTTTGACCCAGACTGACTGACTGTCACCAGCCTCCCCATTCCATGATTTCTTGACCCCGCTGACCCCGCAGACTCTGCTCTGTCACTAATAATCTCACTAAGGCTATCAGGTGAACTACCATGAGACCTAACGCTCTGGGTGACATGACTGTTGCTGAAGCTGTTTCCATGGGAACTGTTGCTTCTGGTTTCACCCCTCCAGCTCGTTGGTTGAGTCTGGAAGGTTTTTCCAAAGGAAATGTTGTCAAGGAACTTGTTGCTACGAAAACTATGCTCCGACCCTGAGTCCTGCTGAATATCAGGCCTTAAATATTGATGTGGTTCCACTTCTTCATCCACAGCAGGGTCTTGTCTATCTCCTCCAGCATGACTAAAGGTCGTGTCTAGTAGTCTGTCTTTATGTAAGGGTTCCCCGACAGGAGGTGGAAACCTGTGAGTGGGGGTGTTTGCTGCTCCGCCAGGGAGATTAGGCACCTAAAAAAACAAAAGGTGGACGTTTGTTTACTAGTAAACACAAAATACTCTAGGAAATGCTCAAATCTTAAGGTTATTTTCATAAACTTAGTTCAGAGTAGTATTTAACTCTACTTAGAATATTAAAAAGTAGACACAACTGCAACCAGTACAAGACTAGTGTGCATTGCTTCTTTTTTATAGAGCTACAAACATAATGTTTGCAGTTTTTTAATCTTTCATAATGATAAAAGGCTACACAATAAAACAATTATTAAACAGTAGCTCTCGATTTAGTTTGTACTATACAAAAACTACTACTACCACTACTATTATACCTACAGTATATTATTGTACTACAAAAAGATTAATCTGGTCCTTATGAAATATGCAGCCTCAGTGTTTGCCTGAACGTCCTTACCTCCCCGACAGTCGCTGAAGTTGCACCATCCGGATGTGGTCCCACTGTCGAGGAGAGCTGGGGTTTTCCTACAGGCTGGAAATCTGACGTGTTAATCCCCGCCATCGAAGCTAGCTGACCTAGACTACATGAAAAAACACATATTGAAATTTTGTTTAAGGAAAAAAATAGGATGTGTAAAAATTAAAAAAAAAAAAATCCAAATCCATAGATGCAAAACAGCGGCAAACAAGAAAAAGTACTTGAAGATCTAATAAAAATGTGAAAGACCTACGAGTCAACAGCAAAGTATTTTTTAAATTTAACAAAATAAATGACCAGAACAAATAAATACATCAAAATGTGTCCCTATTTGACATAAGCTTTGATAGGATTATTTTTTTTCCAACTCATAATATTTTTAGGAAAGCAAATAAGACATTTCCAGGTGGGTACATACAATTAGTGCAAAAACGCTGCCTCTGATGCTCCATGGAATACATAAAAAAACACAGGTACAACTCCATACCAGTACTATGTTGCACCAGAATGAAACTGTTGGCCTTTTACAAGAGATACAAATTTTTGGAACAACATCATCTTGTTTATTAGTCATATCAGATGAAACTTAAATAAAATCATACTAAAATGCAGGTTTACAAGCATATAATTCTCTGGAGAAGGTGCATATCAGCAGGCAAAAAAGTGACTCCTACAAACAAATCAAATGGGCACAGCTGAGGTCAGAGGGCCAAAAAAAGCCCCCAAAATGTTCATGACTACCCACCCAGCATCTTTAAGGAGGTCCAGGAAGGCATGGAACTTGGTAAATGAGCTCTCAATGCTCTCAAGGACTGCCTCATCTTCCAGAGCACTGAAAGCAGGTGGTGCAGATCTAGAACCAACAACTGAAAGTGCTTCTGACAGGGAACGGTTGGCATCACGAAGTCGGGCATTCTCCAACTCATACTGTAAAAAAATGACAAGCCTCTTCGATCAAAACTGACACAGAGTTAGAGTTTCAAATTAATCTCTCTCTCTTCTGTTAAACCCCCCCACCCCCAGAAAGCTATAAATTTGTAAGATTTATTTACCTCCATGAGCCTCGACTCAGCTTTAAGTCGTGCCCTGCGCTCCTCTGCGAGCCTGAGACGGCACTCTTTCAGCTCCATCTACAGGGCAAACATAAGAAAGCAGATTCAAACTAAAGCTCCTCAGTCAACAGTAAGGTGCTAAAAATGATGAAGTTTTGAACAAAAAAAAAAAGCTTAAAAAAATTACAAATTTGACCTGAAATCGCTCAAAATGTCGTCCAGCGATCCTGTCCTGGAGATGACGAGAAGACAGCGTCTGCTCTGCCTGCACCACTTCTTCATCTTCATAACTGTCCTCTTCTTCTGAATGGGACTCCACAGTAACCTTTACTGTAGCTGCACCCTATTTGAAAACACGGCATTGCAGAGGGCAAAACTTAATCCAATCCTTAAAGGTTTCTTGTCAAAAAAAGAGAAAGAAACCTCAGTGAATGATTCAAAAGATCATGTTGCTGTTTAGGTTAATATTTTTTCAGTAAATTACCTGAAAGCTTTGCTCTTTAACAGTAACTCCAGGAGACATACCTCTGAAACAAACGAGTCCAACATAAATTTAATCCCTTTGTGACCAAAATATCCAGTAAGCACTTTAGTTGCTCCCTGTTCTATTATTTTAAAGAAAACACCATCAGTTGTATACTAAAAAACTAAATTACACAAACCAGTCAGTTACTTATTTGAAGTATAAATTTACTGCTGTAGTCACCTCTGGCGCCCAGCTCGGGCAGCAGCTCGCCAAGGCACATAAGAGGAGTGGGAGCAGGACTTCTCTGTTTGAGCAACACCTGAACTCCATCCTCCTGTTGATGTTCCTTTCAGAGTGGCTGAACAAGAGAGTGTGAGTAACTGAGAAAATCATGAACGTAAAACTTTAATGTCTGCAAGGAGCCTTCTATATGACAAGTAAATATTACATTATTCTACATTTTATTTTGCAAATGATAAATGAGCTCAACAAGTGATGCTACTAAGATATTTGTCACTGAGAACGTCTCTTAGTAAAAGTTCTGATTAACCTGGGCACCTTTTCTTGCATAGTTTGTTTCATTTTGTTGTTGTGCTTTGTGTGCAGCCCATGTGCAAAATTTATAGCTGTGTCTGTAAACTAGTTAGTGTTGTTCACAACAACAACACTTTTTAAAATAAAACACTGTGTTCCCCATTTGCAAAATATTAGACTTTTAAATAAATAGTTTGAGTCATTCCATTCAGACTAGGTTACCTTTTCAGTAAAAGATTAGCAGGCGATTTCTTGGTGATTTTAGAGACACTGCCACAGATATCCAAGTTTTGATAGACAACAAACGTGTTACATATGTTTGGACTCATGCACAGGAGCCTGTGTTCATATGAGATAAAAAAAATAAAAAAATACTGCACATACCCATTTTAAATGCAGATTTTCTTTTTATTGTGCTGGGTATGGCTCGCCTTTTTGGACCAGATATTCTAGGTGGCTCTGTGGATTTGGGTTTGATCCAGCAGTACTGCAGCAGAAGAAGAAGAAGTGAGACGTACTGGGCACGGCTGATGACAAATCCAAAACAGTTAAATGAAAAATGCTGGTGCAGATTCTCAGTCATCCAGGACATGGTGTAGTGTATGCGGTCCAGTGCAGCGAAAACTGTCCAGACCTCTACACTGGGGAAACTAAACAGCCTCTTCACAGACGTATGGCTCAACACAGGAGAGCCACCTCCTCTGGACAAGATTCAGCTGTTCACCTCCACCTCACAGATAAGGGACACTCTTTTGAGGACACAGATGGTTTGAGAGGGGAGTGAAGGAAGCAATTTATGTAAAAAGAGAAAAGCTGTCTCTTAACAGAGGAGGAGGCCTCAGATTTCCACTTTCAAAAACATATAATGCAACTTTAAAACAGATTCCCAGCCGGTTTTCACACTTAATGGGAACAGAGGGGTCTCATCTGTGAATTAGAGGAACAAAGACCTACTGTTAAGGTGTTAAGGTGTGAACTGCCAATCTACATTTGTGGGTGTGTCTTATCTCACTCAGCCTTATAACCTGAATCCCTCACTCACTGCTCTTTGAATTGAGAAAGCTCCTCGGATGAGGAGCGAAACGTCTTCTGTTACAAATAAAGTCCAGTTGTTTTTGTATTGAACGTTTTCTGAAGTTAAATGAAAAACACATTCCTATATGTTAGGACTTTGAAATATATAATTACCAGATACTCACCTCAGGTGACTGACCTTCTGCATTCATTAGAACTTTTTCTATCACAGTTTTAATGAGGACTTTGTCTGTTTAGGGGGAAAAAAAAGTTTTTCAGTAATGTATGTAGCTTAAATTTACATAAGTAACGTTTTTTTTAGTTTGATAAAGCAAATATGGAATATTTAGCAGCTAAAATGTTAAATTAAAATCTAGTACTGTTGCTTCTAGAAGCTCTTAAAGTTCACACAATATTAACAGTGCTGTTTCGAAGAAACAATATTTACAGTCTTACCGACTAAAGGGTTGCTACGAATATCCAGCACACACAGAGAAGAATTAGTTTTCAGTGCCTCCAGCAAGCAACGAGCTCCTTCGTTGGACATACCACACCTCTGTAGATCCACCGCTGTTAAATAAGTCACAAAAACAGAAACCCTGAGCACTGTCCTACAAATAGAATTGTAATTTAATTAAAATCTTGAAATTTATTGGATTACCGTTCAAAATTACATATATCTAACCTTTAACCCAGAGATCCTCAGCCAGTTCATGTGCAAGAGCAGCTGCCCCTCGATCCCCAACCAAAGTGTTAGAGTTAAGGGTGACACGACGAAGGCCTCCCATCCCCTCGAACTGTGGCAGTCGATACCTCAGGGACTCTGCCCATGCAGCGCCATGTCTCTGCATTCCCTGATGCTTAAAACAACAACAATGTGTGCAAAGATGCATATTTTTTTGAATACAAGGAATGTCTGATTTCACATAATCCCCTTAATAACAAATTATAATTACTATGGTAGATATTGTAAAAAATATATAAATCTGATATTCCACCTTAATAATGTTGGCCATATGCTCTGCCCCTCTCCATGTAAGACTGCATCCTGTGAAATCTATTGTCCTGATACTTGTAGAATACTTAACACTTTGGCAAATGACTGAAACAAATGGAAATATTAGGAAATCATCAAACTCATGTACAGTAGAACCTTATGAAACCTTTTAGAGAAATACAGATAAAAATGACAGCAAATTTACTGTACATACTCTCCAAGCCCTCATCAGAGATAGGACAATTAGCCAGAGACAAGTCTTCCAAGGAAGTGCTTCTGGCCAAACCCTGGAACAAGAGAAATGTAGTGCTTTTTGTTCAACATTTCATATACCGGTAAACAATTGTTTGGCATTATTTTAGCTCAAATTTTATGTCCCATGCATAAAATAAAAAGTTTATTTTGTTATTTGACAAAAATAACAGTTTTCAGCAACTATTTAACAAAACGTGGTGCAGAATTCTTTGTCACTCTCAAAATCTGTCAAAGATCAATGAATAGTGGCTAAAACATTAATGCAGACAGTGCAAATCATACAGCTTGAGTGTTTTTACTTTTGTCAAAGTGATGAGGTCCCTCTCTCTCAGAGGAAGTCCATTTATTTGTAGAGTCTTGAGGTTGGGAGAGACAGTCAGACACTCTCTCAGTGCTTTGCACAGTTTAAATGTCATGTCCTTAGTGCGAACGGCTGGGATCTTTTTTTTGATGGTTGGCTTATGGTACCTTTTATCTGAAATAAATAGTGACATAATGTATTACATGTAACATTTGTTGTCAATAAAGATCATTTGTATTCATGTACTAATTTTAGTAAAGCAAAGAAATAAAACACTGTAACTATATACCTGCATCTCCAGAAGCTAAACTAGCTTGGAATGTGCTGCTTATTGCAATGTGATGCAAGTGCTTGTTGATGGATACAGAGTGGAGAACGGGTGGCCAGTCTATTAACTTGAGCCTGTCACCATTAAAGTCCAGCATTCCTTTGTCAAGATTCATCTTAACAGCAGGGAGAGGAACTGAGTCCTGTCTGGCACAAGCAAACTCATAGTAAGCCATGAAGTCATGGGCACCCTGCAGCCGAATCTGAGCACTGTCATGAACCATTTTTCACCTAGTAAACAGACAAAAACAAAAGTCATGAAACGTATTAATTGCTCTCACCTCAAACCTTAAAAGAATATGGGATTTTATTTTCTACTAAACATGTTTAAACCAGGTTAGCTCAAGTAATGGTGTGTATTGTTTACAGTGACTTCATGCACTGTTTTACAGCTTAATAAATGTCCTATAAACCAAAACTTCAATAATTAAATTAATAAAATCCTGTACTGGGTACGGTTCAGTAAATAAAATCGTATCTGTTTTCTTCCAAGAGGCTTCCTGATTGATTGTGTGCACTTTAAAGCTGAGACTTAGGGTACTAATGTTAGCTAGCTAAGCTCAGCTCATAGCAACCGTTAGTTCATTATGTGCTGCGCGAGTCCCTAAACAGAGGATTTTTAGCAAGATTTAAAAGCTTTTGAAAAATCGCATTAAACAGACCTAAAATAAACTTACATGTATGATCCAAAGCTCTGAAAACGACACTGTCCAGTGCTTCGGCTTTTTGGACTGTTTACAACTTCAGCAGTTTGCTGGCGACGATTTTTAACGAACGCTCAAAAGTGGCGCTGTTGCACAAACAAAACCACGCCTACTTTTCTTCCTCTTCATAGCACGCACGTCTCCGTCTGTGAGCTGCTGCCACCTACCGGTCAAAATTATAAAGCATGAAGACAAAGCATGATGTCAAGTCAAGTCAGATTTATTTATAGAGCACATTTAAAACAGAAACTGTTACCAAAGTGCTTAACAAAAATATCACATCATCAAATAAAAAGTAGCAAGATATATTTACAGCACATGGAATAAAAATATAAAACCGAAAACATAATTAGAAACAATGAAATACTAAATCAGATCACATTGTGTCAAAAGTCAAGGAAATAATAACAAAAAGCATAAACTCAGTCAGAAACAATTAAATACTAAATCAGATCTGATGACCTTGTGTTAAATAGGAATAATAAAAGCATAAACAGAATCAGCATCAACGAAAAACTAGATCTAAATCCAATCACCCTGTGTTAAATGTCAATGAGTATAGGTGTGTTTTTAGGAGAGATTTAAAAGCAGAGACTGAGGTGGCCTGTCGAATGTTGATGGGCAGATTGTTCCAAAGTTTAGGGTCCACGACTGAAAACGCTCAATCTCCTCTGAGCTTCAGCCTGGTTTTTGGTACGGCCAAAAGCAGCTGGTCTGATGATCTCAAAGCCCGAGAAGGAGCAAAAGGATGAAGAAGGTCAGAGAGGTATGATGGTGAAAGGCCGTTAATGCACTTGAATGTCAGCATGAGAATTTTAAAATCAACTCTGACACGTACAGGAAGCCAGTGAAGGGAGGACAGAACCGGAGTAATGTGCTCAAACCTGCGAGCTCCTGTTAGTAGCCGAGCTGCAGCATGTCTCCTAAGCTTCACAAGTTTTATTATCTTCAAAGTAAACCTTCAGGGCAAGCACATTAAATATTATTAACTATGATATTCTGAATCACCCATCTTTTTATGGAAACATTTGAAAAAACACTTCTCAAGTAAAAAAAAAAAGAAGAAGAAGAAACCTGCCAATTGTGAGAAGACTTTGCATCACTGTTACTATGGAATATACTTTGAGGATTCAAGGTTCTTTATTGTCATTTGCATCACATGTGGCACATGGGGTGGAAGAAAATTGTGTACACAAGGTCCCAGTTACAGCCAACAAAAGTATAAAACGTAAAAGAAAAACAGTAATAAGATCTATGATATGAACTAAGAAAAATGTTAACTAAAAATACACTAAGCACTAGAAGTAAAAAAAAATATGCTGAACATCAGCACGAAAATGAGTCTGTGTGAGCAGGTGAGTACGGATGAACACAGCAGCATGAAACAAATCAACAGCATCATGATGTGATTTATTCACAGTGATTATCCTGGTTAGAGATTCATGAGTCTAACAGCCTCAGGGTAGAAGCTGTTCCTCAGCTTCTGACTTAAGACTTAAAATGGATCTAAAACAATGTACATGCATATTACAGTATGAAAATAAAACAAATAAACAAAAAAAAAATACAAGGTAGAAAAAGGAAGAGAATTTCCACAAAAATGTAGCAAGAATTTGATGTTTAGTGATTAGCACTGCGAATTGGTTGAATCGGCAGAATCCTCGGGTTGGACCTGGGATTTTTCTGTGTGGAGTTTGCATGTTCTCGTGTTTGCGTGAGTTTTCCCCAGGTGCTCCAATTTCCTGTCACAGTTAAAAAAAAAAACATGCATGTTAGGCTGCCTTCAGGCCCAGGCCTCCCTTGCAAAAGAGATTTGTGATCTCAAAGGGATTTGCCTGGTTAAATAAAGGTTAATAATTTATTTCTCTATAATCCATAACAGAAATAATATATTGTATAAATACATATGAATGGATAAATATATTGGCGTCAAAGAATTATGGATCAAATGTTATGAATGTTTTATTGTGCTTTATTGTTATGGCTACATTCTTCTTCTTTGCCATGAACGACTTGATTGTCTCCCAAAACAATTGAATTGTCTTCAAAAACACTTGTTTATCTTGAACTGAAGGATTTCTTTTTGATACCCATTGCCCATGAACCATACTGCATGTTTGTGCAAACAAAATGTTGTGTAAAGAGGCTGCAGCTGACTTCAAGGAAACCCACTGAACTACAATCTGCTGAGCTGAGAATGTTATGCAGCTCATTTCAATGACTGGTCTTCATACATGTATGATTATGTGTGTTTAGATGCAACCTGTTCTGAAATCTGCCCTTGCAAATAACATGCCAGTTAAAAATCTTTACCTACCATAACTTGTGGTTCTTTTAAGCAAACAACGTTAGAGAACGAGACAATTTCGCTAACAATTGATTATTATGTCTGATGTATAAGATAACTATTGTTATTATTATTATATTGTAGCGTGTTCTGTAGTTAGACTGCTCCAATGGCATTTCTATATTCATGTTCCCGCAGCAGTTGGATGTTCATGACAATGGGAAGAGGGAGTGGAAAAAGTTTTGGGAGGAACTCCCTCAGTTTGTCTGTTCGACGTGGCTGTGTGTGGCCTACAACAATTATTCAAATAAAAATGTTTCCGACGGTAATGAGTCATCTGTAACATGAATTACAATGCATAGACAGAGAAAGCATTACAATATAATATAATATACTCCACTGGCCTCCCTCACCTCCCCTGGCGCAGCAAAATGTGAATGTGCCAAAGGGCTGTGTCACTCACCAGGCGGCCGTGCTGGGACCTCCACTCCACACGTATATGTATTATGTCTATTTATGTTACTTTGCGGGCAGCACGGTGGCACAACTGGAAGAGCTGCTGCCTCTCAGCGAGCAGGTCCCCAGTTTTAATCCCGATCCGGGTGCCTTTCTGGGTGTAGTTTGCATGTTCTCTCCGTGCATGCGTGGGTTTTCTCCAGGTACTTCGGTTTCCTCCCACAGACCAAAAGCATGCATGTTAGGCTGATTGGTAATTGTCCCTAGGTGAGAGTGAGAGAGTGAATGGTTGTTTGTCTCGTTTGTTTCTATGTGGTCCTGTGATGGACTTGCGACCCGTCCAGGGTGTTCCCCGCCCCTCGCACAGTGATTGCTGGACATGGGCACCGGTGACCCCCGTGACCCAAAATGGAAGAAGCGGGTAAAAGATAATGGGATGGATGGATGGATTGATGTCTGCAAATTTAATTATATGTGTCTAAATTTGTAGATTTTTACCAAACAATAAGTATAATTACTCATGTAAATAAATATACATATATACTTAAAATAGTAATCTATGTATACTACCGTGTTTTTTATTCTCTGAATTGAAATCATGAGCACATATTTGAAGACTACAAATGAGCTATTATTTATACAACATAGATAAATACTTTTGTGAGTAAAAATGACTGCTATACATTAGAGGTAGGAATAAAAAGTCTACTTCTTCAGATTAATTTTTAAAGACATATTGCACTGCATTAACATGTTCTAAATAAATGAAAAATAACAAATTAAAAATAATAAATGCATTTTATATCAACACTCCTGCAGTCACATTTATATTGCACACAACACAAGTAATAGTTTGCATCGAAATGAAGACCTATTCAGTATGAGGCAGAACGTGGGTGTTGTGGATGTGTTCGTCCTCCCTTCCTTGTTGGACCCGCATTACATCACCACTGTCTGAACATTCTCAAAGCCCATTGGTCATCCCGAACGTCAATCAAACTCCTGGTTCGCTCAATTCCAGGAATCCCAGCCCCTTTGGAGATGTTGGGATCGGTGAAACTGTACACCAAAAACCGCGGAGGTATCTCGCTGTTATTTATATTTACCACGTATTTTAAAGCTTGGACATACTGCGTATATAGTTGGAAGAGGATTGATAAAGAGTTCTTACTAATTCAGAGGTATGTGGTGTTATTTGTAAATCTTAATGTAACAGTTTGGCTAAAGGAGTTTGTGGATGGCCGCTGCTAGCAGTGAGTGTTTTTCCAAACATCAGTGGCCTGTCTGCATGTGTGAAGCACGTAATATTTTTTTTATATAACTAAACAAAAATCTAATGTAATTGTATCTGTACAACTATTTTAAAAAAGAAGTACTAAAATGATCGCTATCCCCGTGCCTTGGTGTACTTAGTGTTTGTTTTGTCGTGGGACAGGTCTGCTTTATATCATCATGTTGACCAGCTGCTAATGCTAATCTGATTTAAAAACGTCCTGGGTGATGCAGTTTCATTACAATAAATAAATGGTAAACTTTGATGTTATAAATAAGGCAGTACTTTATTATAGAAATTCGTTAAAGTGGCTTTGGGCAGTTTTAATTGTTTTTTCACATTACTTTGGTTACCCATGGTTTATCTTTATGTGTCCACAACACAAATTCCTTCTCTTGGCTTTTAGCACCCATTGAAATGTTGACTTTTTAGTTTATTGTGATTGACTTTATGTGTTTTATTTGTTTATGCTATATGCATTATAGCACTTATTTTGTAATATATGGCTGTGTTTTTATTTTTGTGTACAACAACAGTGGTTATTTAGGATAAAACTGATATGTTATGGTACATACAATTAGAAGAAAAGCAGTTTTTTAATCTGTAAATGTACAGCATACTCACACAATAAACTGGGTGGGGCTTTCTCTTATTATCTAAAATATTGTTAGTTGCTCATCTTGTAAAAACCTTGTTTCAAAAAATAAAGTTGCTGTTCATCATGTAAACTAGACCAGAAAGAGTTCAGCACTTTAGCTATTATTTAGGACCTAAACCTCTAAATGAGAAGTCATGTATGTGTAATGTTTTTAAAATGTATTTGCTTCAGAATGTTAAAATGTTGAAAGGTTAAGTTTGTATAGAGATTAATGGGGGGGATGACCAAATTGAACATTTTACAACGTTTTGAAGTAAAATATTTACTGATAAGTTACGCCACTGCAAGGCTAAATTTCAGCTTCAGATGGAAAGATGTGGAGGAGTTGACTCAAAAAATGTGGGGAGAACTAGTTTAAGGAGTCTCTCGCTTTAAAACTGAAACTGTTTTCAGGAATTGCATCATAAGCCTTAAGATAAATAAGATTCAGAGTGTGCACATATCTGTACTGAAATTAAACAGCATGGAGATCAAAATATCATGTTTTAATCTTCAGAGCTTTTTTCAGCATTTTTTAAACATTAAATGTATAGTTTGGCACATGGTCATTGTCTATTTTATGTATTTAAAATAGTACCACCATGCTAGCAGAGTACTGAATACTCTGCTGACTTACAGGATAGCTCACGGTATTCATTTTTGAGCTTTAAGTTTAAAACAGAGAAATATTTAGGTGGATCCGAAATCTATCTTTTTCCGTTGAGAGTGTAAATTTACAGAGGAGGTGTGTGTGTGAACCTTTAAAACATGGCAACAATAATTAAAGCTGTTTAAAAGTCAAGTAAAATCATCACTATCATCTATCTTTATCAAAGACTCTGCAGATCTCTCTTTTGGAGCAGTCTTGATTACTGGTATATTCAGTTCAAAATATTCTTACTCTGAATCTGCCTAAAACATAAATAAATGCAAATTGTAAAGCTAAAGGGGGAAAAAAAACTATTTATTTTTGTTGTGCATACTGCTCTGATACAAATCAACACACAAAACAACCCTCAGTGTTAGTAACGGAAGCACAATGGATACATGTTATTCACCTACCAGTAATTATACCCAGCAGGACAGTATCTGCCTAGTGTTGTAATTTGTAACCATTCACTTTACTGAGTTAGTGAAAAAAACCTGCCAAATATTTTTCTTGGGAGCACTTTAATTTTAAAGCAGATTTGCTTTTTTTAAAATGAGCTGCCCCATTTCCTGTTGCTTCCTAGATTTGCATTCATAAAGGATTACATGGAATAGGAGTGAAGGAAGGAAACGCTGCTTGGTTCCAGGCCAAAAGCTACTCACTCACTCAGGACTCGATGTCCTTTTTTCCACTGAGGTCAGAGCACCGACATTTCACACGGGTGCTTGTATTTGCCTTCTTTCACTGTTTTTCACTCACCCTTTCTCCTCTGGTCTTCCACTCGTTTCATTCAAAGGTCAGACATAATTAGCAGCAACTTCAGCTCGTGTTTTGAAATATCTCCACGCTTATAGTACACTGAAGCCACTGTGGTCATTGAATGACAGGGTAATGACGGTCCTGCTGAGCGTAGGCTGAAAACTAACACAAAGCTTTTCCTGGGGTTTGGCTATGGGAGGTTTGGATTGTTGAATAAAAGCATGGCTGTAATAACAGGGGACTTTTCAGGTGAGTTACTCTTTATACAGACTGACAAACAGAAAATCTTCTGTCATAATTGGGTTTTTCTGTGCAGACAGAAGTATTAGATTATAGAAAGGTAGTTTGGAGTACTTATTAAAGCCTAAATATTATTATATATTGTAGGATGTAATTTTGACTGTCACTCATGTTGATGTAGTGGATAGATTAAATATTAACCATTTTCTGCTTTAGTCTCTACAAACATTTTTGTAATAAATAATAATTGTGCATGTGCTTGTTACAGTTTGTCAGACTAAATATAAGCACTGTTTTGCTCTAGAAAAGTATACTTTTCATTTGATATTTTAAAGTTTACTCTAAATATTTGTTTGTAACATAAAAGACCAATAGAAGAAGTGATGATAGACATGTATAGACTGTAAATGATGCAGCCAGGTGTTCTGCCAGTAAACATACACACATGCACTCAAAGTAAATGTTTGCTTTTACATATGGCAGTAACTGTGTGTCTGATTTGTGCCATCTATTTAAATACAGAAAAGTGTGTCCTTGCATACCTTGGAAGTTTTTACAATAATAATAATTTATTATTATTGTAAAGACTTCCAAGAGGTGCACCGATTGCAGTTTTCTGGCCGATCACCGATTTCTAAAAAGTCTGACCTGCCGATTCCGATTTTGCCTGATACCGATTTTGATTTATAATCGACACTGTCAGGTGTTATAAGGTCACAATGCACCTTCAATTTTCAGTCTTATTTTATTGAAAAACATACCCTTGAACAATATCCTAGAAACAATATAAACTTGTTTTAACTGGCCATGAGGTAGTGCTCTGAAATATAAATGAAGTTTAGACAATTGATGTTAAAACTAAAAAAATCTGTAAAATTGTTTTCTCATGCAAGTATCGGCCGATTTCTCAAAATTAAGGAAATCGGGGCCGATAAATCAGTGCACCCCTAATAATGATACCATAATAATAATAATAATTATTATTATTTTCTCAGCATTTATTCATTTATTCCTGGTTCATTCACCAGGGGCCAACCAGGTCCCTCAGGTTTAATCTCTGTACTCATCGCAGTACGTGAGTGGTCCCTAGCAGCACAGTCGTTTACATTTCTTTGGCATTGACTCTACATGGGAGTTTATCATGGGGGCCGAGATGGTATAGAGGCAGGGCAGCCGGCTTGGGACCTGAAAGTCCCAGGTTCGATCCCCAGTCACTGCACATCACGTGGCGTCTCTGGGCAGCACGTCTCATCCCCAAAATGTCCCCCGGGCGCTTTCAATAGCTGCCCACTGCACCACCTGGTGGTGGATGGGTTAAATGCAGAGACTAATTTCGCCATTGTATGGAAACATACAGTGCTGACATTGTGATGACATTATTATTATTATTATTATTATTATCTAGTTGCTCTTGAAATCCTTTCTTCATTCATTGTTCCTAAAGCTCCAATTAACTTGAGTTTTTGTGTTCTACATGCATTGGACTTCTATCTCCAGGTCCTTGTACTTTATTTTCTCTGCTTCTTTCTTTAGGATGTTATTGTCATTCGAGATAGACACATCAAGCATAACACATTTTGTTGTTCTTGTCATGGAGCACAACATCTGGCTGGTTTGCAGATGGTACGATCAGTAGGGATGGTCTTGTCCCACATGATGACATAAGCCCCATTGTCAACTACTTTCTCAGTCCTGTGCTCATACCACTTGTCAGTTGTACCTACACCCATTCTCTGGCAGTATTTTATTTATTTATTATTTTATATTTATTTATTTTATTTTAATTATTGTTATTATTTTGTTGTTGTTACTATTAGGGCAATCTGTTGTTCCTAAAATAAAATTAGAATCGGCACATCTATTAGATTTTTATTTTATTTTAAAGTAACCACTTTATCTTTGTGGGTTTGGTAGCTTGTGGTCACATTTGTATCAGCCGCATGGACAACAACCAGAGCGCAGTGGATGGGTATTGATTTGTGTGTTGTTGGTGTGTGTCTATCACTCTCTTGATGAGATTTCCCAGATCTGCAGCTGTTTTTTCCCCCTGCTTCCCATCAAACCACCATGTGTTTTGCTGTTTTATTTAAAATGCGTAATATTCTAAGGGGTTGGAGGATATGCAGGTTATGGGCCAAAAAGCATTTCAGGCTTGTGTGAAAATCTAAAAAAGTGTTCTTGGGGTTGCAGCTCCACTGAATTACAACAGCTCTTTTGTGAAAAGGCCAACAGGAGGTTATTTTGGCTTGTAGCATAGATTTGCCAAAGAACAACTTCCAACAGCTGTATTTATGTTGTGCCTTGCCTCTGGTTTTCAGCTGAAGCTTGTGTTGTTTTTTTAGACAGGAACATACAAAGGTTTTTAATATTTAACCAACTGTGGAAAAGACTCTGGAGCAAAAGAAAACGCATAATTTCTTTGTTCTGCATGTTGAAATGGAGAAATCACATTTGGATTGTTAAGTTAGCTGTACATTTAGGTGCAGTTTAAATATAGGTTGGAATCCCCGCAGCATCCTGTCCTTAAGTTTGTAGATAGCCAGAACAATGCACAAAAGAAAATCAATTACTTTGCCCGGAAACTTCAACCAGCAGCTCCTTAAAACATTTATATTTATAGTTGTGCAAAGTTCAAGTGTGAGAAATTAAAAATTTCCTTCAGCTGCTACAAAATCTTTAATAAAAATGAATATTGCTTTACAGAAACATTCTGCCTTGGCTCCAAAGGAAAAATCCATCCTACATAAAGATGCTTTTGTAGTATACAAACACAAGTTGTACCTGGCAGATGTTCACAAATATTGATTACAATTTTTTACTTATGAATTTGAAATGAAAGGCACAATGATTTGGTCATACACGTTGGTTTTAAAAATAGGTACAATAAATGATCAAAAAGCTGTCAGTTTCTTTCTTTTTTACTTTAACAGCCTGTCTCTGATCCCAGATTTCTTGCTAAGCCTAATCTCTGCAGACACTGATAGGTTAAACCAAATGCCAAAAATGAGATGATTAATAACTTAATTTAATACATGACAAGCCCCATGAGGCTTCAGGGCGAGACTATTTTGTCAGTTACATTTTGTGCTCTTGTTTTCAGTGAGTGTCGTTACTGTAGTGGGCTGGCTAGTTCTTTAGAACAAAGAGTTTAATGCAGCTTGTCACAACTTGTCTGATGGAAAATCAGACAAACTGCAAACAGCTTAGATGAACAGAATCAAAATTAAATACACACAGGTACCTACATGCAGTCCCATAGCACGGTTGTAGTTTTGAATTGTTTGTACGTGTTGTGTTGACATTTTTAAAACGACACAGTGAAGGTGGCTCTATACATTTATTTTCTGCAGATTATATTCATTCTGAAAGTCGGAGAGCCTTTGTTTTTAGTTATGTCTTTTGCTTCACTCTTATTGTAGTACTGTATTGTTGTAGTTTTGTGCTGTTAAATCCTTCTTAGGATTTATACCAGTTCAGTTGGAGCTGCAATATTTTTTATGATCTTTGTCTTTTGGCTACTCCCTCTATAGCTGTCTCCACAGCGAGTCATCCTCCTCACTCCAACTACCTCCATGTCCTCTCTAACTGCACCCATGCATCTGCTTTTTGTCTTTTTCCTGGCAGCTGCATTTCTGACATCCTTCTACCAATGTACCCACTGTCCCTCCTCTGGACATATCCAAACCATCTCAGTCTGGTCTCTCTAACTTTAACTCCCAGCTTTTTAACCTGTGCTGTACCTCTGATGATCTCATGATCTCATCTCATTCCTAATCTTATCCATTTTTGTCACAACCAATGAGAACCTCAAGATCTTCTGTTCTGCCAGTTTTTTCACCTGTCTTTTTGTCAGTGTCATTGTATCCAATCCATAGCTTGCTCACAATGTTGCATGGTTTGAAGACAATTGCATTTGTGATCAATTTTCATAAATTATTATCGTAAATTATTTGCTATTGGGGCAAGCAATGTGTTTTTTTTTCCAACTAACAGAACTGTTTGACTTAAACTAATAAATAATAAACCTTAAAAGAACTTGAACACTTAAATATATATACAATAGAAGAGCATTGTCAATTTAAAAAAGTAAATAGTGGTTTTATTTAGCTGTCTCTAGCTATTGCTGCATGTTCTTTTTCCTGCTCAGTAAATGGCTAAATAGCCACAGGCATGGTCGATTATTATTAAGTGGCAAATGATAGCCAGCTAATTGGTTGGCTGTTTAATTAGCTTAATCTATGTCTGGCATTGTCAAATTAGCTTAGTGATTAAACCATCTCTGTTTATCACATGCACTGAATTGAGGGGAATATGGAGGACAGTTTTATTGTTTTTATGTAAGAATTAGCACATTACCAACAACATGAGTGTAGAACCATGTAATTAATGTTTATGTGACAGTGCAACAAAACCTTTTTCCCCCAACTAAAATTAACAGCAAGCCATTGTAATGAAACTAGGAAAATCAACTGTAAGAATAATGAACACTTTAAGTAAAGATATGTAGATATTCTGAACAGAGAAAACCAGGGGAAGCCAGCCATCTCTATTACAGTGCACTACAGCTTTGACCTTTCTCTGCAGGCGGTTTCACAAACATTCACAGATGAAATCATGTGGCCAAAACTTATCACCAGTAGACAACACAAGTGATAAAAATGCTAAAACACAAGATGGTGAACAGGTGAGTCTGAGCTTTTGTGACTTCCAATGACTTTCCTTGAGCATCACATGTACAGTTCACAAAAGTCACATTCACTGAGAACAGCAGTGAAAAACATTTTCAAACAATGAAGGGAAACTCTGTAGACCTTTGTTTAAGCAATTAGGCACTTCCTTGGTAGACCTTGTCTTTGCCACACCCTGTCTTGTAATTTTTTCTGTTAAGCTTTCACAAGAGAACGTTCTCTAGGTTTGAGACATGTTTTGATCGCCTCAGTGGCTTCTGAATGGACCGAGGCAGTGAGGGGGGTTGAAGACAGCCCACTTCTGGTGTGCCTCTGTGCCGCCGACGTAGTGACAGAGATGGAACCACCTCCATGTGATGTACTGCTGCGGCTCATTGATGTGATGAACTGATGATAATAGGGTGTGACCTCCAGCTCATGGGACAACAACAAATAGATTTATCACCGAGGAATGTAATTCAAAGTTAGTCTAAGTTATAGGTAACCATAAAGAGGATCTTCAAGTGAGCTAATTCATTATGTTTTTTAAATGACATCAGGGAGATGTCCGTCACACATTTAATGCCTTGTGCTCCACTTCAGCCCAGCTGAGTTCTGCACCATACCTCTTTTGGTTCTGCACTGTTTGATTCATTTCTGAAAGCTCATGTCAGTTTGGTACGTGGCCAGCGCCATCAGTGAGTTTTGACCAGCGAGAGGAGAGCTGGACTGGTCTGTGCAGCCATTTGACAAAACTGTTTTATGAAAGAGTCCATTGTTTCTTGTGTTTCACCAAAGTTTCCTGTCTTTCATTCAGCTCCAGCTGAGCAATTTTAACTTGTTACTTATTTTTATACTTGGACTCATGCATGTATTTATTTTTAGAACAGCAAAGCAGGGGACAAAGGTCATTCCAGTATTTTTTTTTTCCTCGTTTTTTTTTTACTTTATCAGAAAACACAGTTGAAGTAATATTTAGGTAATTGTAATGTTTGAGATATTATTTGTCAATGCAAATTTTGTTTTTTATATATATTTTTTGCCATTTTTTTTTTTAATTTTTCATCTACAAAATAAAATGACAAAGCATTTTATTTTGAAGCATAATGATTCCATACATTTTCAGGGGTTTAGCAGCATTTTATAAGATTTAAAATAACATGCTTTGACTTGTGTGTTAGCTAACATTAGTCTGACAGCACCTAGAGTTATGTTTTTTTCCCCTTGTTGACAAAATGGTTCCTGGCAGTCTCACATGTGGGTTTGGTGTTTATTCATGAAAGTAGCATTGCAGAGATTTAAAACCGGTGAGCAGACAGCAGCCTCTCATTATAATTTAACGACGTAAGGAGCAAACCTGTTTAACCACTGTGTGTTGTAATACTTTGAAGGGTTAAATATCATGTTTGTCACACACCCATAGGTATCCAGGAGCCTTTTCAACAAAGCTAAAGTAGTTTTCAAAAGGGTTGAGCCACCAGTTGTTAATTTGTATTTTCCTTCCAATAAATTACCATACTTGCCGCTGTACATATCGCATGAGTCCAAAAATGTTTAATAAAGTAGGAAAAAACACATAAATAAGTCGCTTCGTTGTATAAGTTGCATCTAGAATTGCCAAGTCTTTGTGAGACTTAGTTTGCTGTGGTGACCCCTGAAGAAGGTAGAAGCCAAAAGAAGGGAAAAAAACCCCCACAAAAACAAATTATTTATTTTTTTGCTCAAAATTATAGCAACGGTGTGCCTCAGTTGAACTTTTCCTTAATAAATGCACTATACTGGTCAAATCAGCTGCATTTCAAAAATCGATTTGCGACTGCGGAGCGCTCAGAGGGAGGACTCGCTATTCATTTCTTCGAAATTTAACAAGATAACTACCTAAAAACAATTATTTTTTGCTTGACATTATACTAAAGGTGTGTCTCAGATGAACTTTTCCTTAATAAATTCACTTTAATGGTCAAATCAGGTGCATGTCACCTGGGCGCTATGGCAAAATGCAGCTGATTTGACGTTTGCTCCAGGAGTTCCGGAGCGAGATGAAGGTGGCTTGGTATGGCAAGCCAAGTGTCTCATTAATAGCCACTTTGACCTATTAATGAGACACTTGGCTTGCCATATTACTCAACCGCTCTCTATCAGCTGAAAATGGTATTGTTCAATATTTTCCATTGCAGAATGAATGAAATCGTCAGATCTCAGCCAAAAATTATGTTCTAAATATGGGGAAAAAACATTTGTTAGTTGCTTTGGTGCATAAGTCACAAGACTTGCAAATCTATGCACAAAGGTGTGACTTATATGGTAAAAAAATACGGTAGACCTTTTTTTGCACGTTTTAAAGTGGATGTATGCAATAAGAATCCATGTATCTCCTACAGGTGACAAAACTTATTGTTACAATATATTTTAACATTATTTTCTATTTAAAAAATCTAGTATTTATCACATTTCTGACTTTTCTTTGTTCTGTGGTTTTTCTTACAGAGCTCTTCGGTCTGCGGCTCTCAGGATGTCTTAAGGTGGTGTCACTGTATTTGAAAAGACCTTCAGACTAAGATCAGAAGACACTGTCTCAGCTAGATCACAGTTATGCTTCGCTTAAGCACCATTCTCACGCCAATGCCCAACCCTGACCTTGTCTGGCACCTCTGTGTTCTTCTTGGCGTCTCTGCTCTGAATGCTGAAACTAATGTTGGTAAGAACAAAACTAAAACAGTGGATCAGTCCAGGTTTTAGTTCTCAGCTTGAGAAGACAAAATATTTTTCATTCCGTTAGATTTCATTATTTTTTTCTATCTAATCTCTAACTTCTGATCGTTTGTTTTCCAGTCCTGACAGTACCCCAGCATGTGAGCCTTTTACCCAACTTTAGCACGCAGCAGCTCTCCATATCTTGGTTGGGAGGACCAGCCACAACCTTTGACTTTCTCATTAAAAGAACTGATTTCAATGAAACTGTCTTCTATGTAAGTATGTTTTAAGTATGTTTTCATTTTATTCTTTTTTTTTCTTTTTTCTCCAACATAATTAATTTGCATTTTAGGTTAGTTTTGTGTGAAACAAGGTGTACCTTTACGTTCATGGAACTTTGATGCATATATGCTTTAAACTATTCCAGTGAAAAAAATGTGCATTTTTGAACTTTAGTTTTACCGTTATTGATCGGCACATGCCTCAGTACTAATACAATATGTCTAATGTGTTTAATTTAAGAAGCAAACTAATTTAGGCCTTCTATAACTACAACTTTCACTCCAAAATATCATGATGTTCTGTCTCATTCTGTTTATGCTTTGTGTGTAATATTTGTAGGACACTGTGTCTGCAAAAGTGAATCAGGTGAGTGGTCAGCACCAGTGGACATGGACCTCTGAAGAACCTCTGGAATGTACATCATTGTCAGTCAAAATCTGCTCAAGAGATGGTCAGACAACAAGTGAATGGAGCGAAACTCAGATACTTGAAGGTCAGTTGAACAATTAGTGCGCACCAGTATTTAGAGAAATGCCTTTCAAATAAATGCATCCAACAGTATACCTCCGCTGATACTGTACTGTTTCTGTTATTGTTGTCTCTTTAGGACGAGATATCCCCAGTAATAGAAATTTCCAGATGTATCCCCAGGACAAGGTTGTTCCTGTAGGAGCCAACACGACCTTCTGCTGCATAGTAGAGGAGGGAAAGACCTTTAAAAGCATCCTCTATGGCAGGACCGAAATGAATGTGAAACGTTTGAGTTTGCGAAGTTATGCAGTTACAGCTTTTGATCAGCAACTATCTGGGCCAACTGGAGCAAATGTTATTTGCCAAACGCATATGAATAAAATATATGGAGCTGTTGTGTTCATTGGATGTAAGTTACATGTGTGTCTGATCTAAAAAAAATAGATCAATTTAATTAAAATGATAAAATAGGGAAGCTGCATTATACACTAACCTATTCAAATATTTAATTTCACCTCATACCTTTTGAACGTTGTAGTTTGTCTTTGGAATAAATATCGACAAATTGTTAAAATATTTTGTTAGTGAAAAAAGCATCTAAACGTGTAAATGTGTCTCTTCCCAGATCCACCACTACCTACTGATTTTGTTTGTCATACCCAAGATCTAATCTCAGCTGTGTGCCAGTGGAATAAAGGACGAGACACTCACTTGTATGGCAAAAGACAAACGCACTACTCAGTAACTGGCAGGTACACTGGAAAAGTATTCTCTTAAAAAATATTATTTTTGTTAGAACGTTTGTTTGACGTTAAAGATTGTTGAGTGGCAACATCTGTAAATAGTAACATGTAAATATTCACACCTTGTTTTGCTAAAACTAAAAATAAATCATGATTTTTAGCACATCTTTTGCATATCTTAATAAGCCCATAAAATGAAATTATGGGCAAATTTTGATGGGGAACATCCTACAAATTAAAAACTATAGTCCAATTACATTTTCTTGAATAGTCTGTCAACATTTGAGCAATTTGGAGAGCCCTAAATGATACAGTCGTAACTGTTAGCACAATCAAATTGCTAGAAAACAATGAACGCTGTTAAGAATGATTTTTCTATATCTCAGTGTAAGTGATGTGCCATCAGAGGTGGCTGCACTCTGTCACTCAGCACTGCAGATAATAGCTCTAATTCATTTATTATGGTTTCATCTGATTGTCCCTTAAAAGTGTTTTTGTACAGAAAATAACGGCAAGAGAAATATGAGAATTATAAAGCTTTCAGTGTGAGTAATTACTTACTGTATGTCTGATGGTTATTGGCTGCCTTCCAGACATTTTACAGGAATGATCTGAAAGCTGTCCAGAAACATGTCTGTGCCCTTTAGTTGAGATAACATTTTTGAAGTAATTATGTTTTAATGTATTTTTTTTTTCTGGTTTCCACTTGTTTTTATGTTTGTAGAAATTGTTCTGAGACGAGCACACAGCAGAAGTGTAGCCTTCCTCAGTGGGATGGTAACTGGACTCTGGTAGCTGTTAATTCTCTTGGTCAGTACAGCCTCACTGACTCGGCTGAGCTCAGTCACAGAGGTAGGGGGCTGCACCTTGTTGCCTTCTTTCCAAGCACTGATTCCTGTAAACCCACTTCATGTGAACTGGTTGTAATTTGATAATACTAGTGGAGGGAAAAGATGAGCTTTCAAGAAATGACAAAGTGTTTTTGCTGTGTACTTAGTTTTGTTATTATTGTACTGTTTCGTCTCAGTGTGTCCAGTAGCACCAGTTAATCTGAACTCTGACGTCCGTGCCTGGAATGCTACTGTTCTCTGGGAGTGGAAATACAACAGCTATTCTACCCTCGCTCTTGTCTGCCAGGTAGAGCTAACTACCCAGGGATACAAAACAAAGGTAGGGGTTTGGAACATGTCCATAATGTATATTTTTACTTTCAAGGCTGTTACTAGTTTTACTAAAAAAAGTCTTATGTTTGTGTCCAGCGTGTCTTCTCTGGTTTGGGTCTCCAATCTGTGGTTTTATTGGATCTGCAACCCGATGAAGACTACAGCATTCAGGTTCGCTGTGGATCCCAGAAGAACTTCTGGAAGTGGGGAAACTGGAGCAATACCTTATCATTCAGAACCAAAACCTATGGTAAATTACTATTTTTTAATTATTATTATTATTATTATTTTGGCACAAGTGTTAGTAAATAATGATTATTTACTTAAACCAGTATGTTTTTAACTGGTTAAACACTTGCGTAAGTAATGACTCAATTGAGTCATTACTGTTAAAAGTAAAATTGTACTTAAATGTATTATTGGGCCATGAGCAATAAAACCGTATTTCAGTCCAGTTATATATTTTTTGTACGATTTTAGTTCCAGATGCCCCTGATGTGTGGATGTGGATGAACAGAGACACCACCGGGCTGGTTGTTTGGAAAGTAATGCCCTTTCTCATTTTTGTCTTTGAATTTATTGGATGGAAAAGTTTACAGTTAAGTGTTTAAATTAGGTCTAATTTTACTGTAATTTTTTTCTCTTCTAGCCTCTAACACGACAGCAGAGCCATGGTCAGATCACGGGTTTTGAAGTTACTTTATGGAACAATAAAGAAAATCTACAGCATATACAAATATCACAGGATACCAATTCTATACCAGTCAATCTCACACAAATGGCTTCATTCAGCGAAGATGACGAGATCATAGCAGCAGTCGTAGCAAAGAACGTGGAAGGGGTGTCTCAGCCTGCAAGTGTACCTCTACGCTTGATAGGTATGTGTAAACAGTGTGAGTGGGATGTGTTTTGCATACTGAAGAGGATTTAAAGAAATTGAAAATACAAAATTTAATGTTTTGTAGACTTTGAAACTATAAATGAGTTGGTTTCTCATGCAAGAAACAGTTGTCTTGCTTGAAATTATAACACAGTGAATTGCTCATGAAAAGAAACTATGGACACACATTACCACTACAGTATATTACCATAATTACACATTCTTTTTTTCTTTCCCAGATATGGAACCCCCTATTTTCTCCAGAATAGCCTATACCAACAGTGGCTTCCCTCTGGAGTGGCAGCAGAATGCCAGCACCACTTGTAGTTACCTGATTGAATGGCATGATGCCTCATGCAGGCATGACTGCCAAGTGAATTGGCTCCGAGTGAATGTTGGAAGCACTAATGTATCTATTGAGTCAGGTATGTGGGGCATGCAGGCTTGTAAAAACACTGTTTTATCCAGCAAGTTTCAAAGAAGCTGTTTGTAATTTTTGTAGTTTGTCCTCTTGTCTCCAAAAACAAGCTTTACTGTAACTACTTGTCAAAAGAAAGTTGTGTAGTTTGTCATTATACTATACACTACTTGATATTAATTTCTATTTTGTCATCAGTTGACTTCCAGCCAGGTGTGAGATACAACTTCTCCCTCTACAGTTGCCCTTCAAGTTCCCCACAGCTCATTCAGCGCTGGCAGGGATACATGCAGGAGCTGGGTAATGGTGGAACACAAACTCTTTAGAATATGCAAAAACTTCATGTTTGATTATGCATTGGGATATTTATTGCTATTCTATGTGCTACGCCAACCCATCGTGTTTGTTTTATTTCCTTTATTTCTCGTGACCTTCACAGTCCCGTCCAGTTCGGTCCCTCTGAAAATCAGTCAGCAGGACTTCGATGTAGTTCTTACCTGGGGAGAGATTCCTCTGGCCAACAAAAGAGGCTTCATCCTGGGCTACAATGTTTACATCAGTCATGGTTCCCAGCTCTCACTCATTGGTAAATTGTAGCTTAAACATCAAATCCATTCAAGTGAAGTGCTAGATAAAGGAACTGTATATGAATGAAATTACATTTTATCGTCTTGATAGAAAGAGTTGTTACTCATTTATCATCATTTAATTACTGGTATGCTCTCTTTTTCCTCTCTTTTTGTTTTTCTACCTGTTTTTTTTTTTTTTCCACCAGCAAATCTGTCAGACCTTGGAACAAGGAAATACGTTGTAAAGGGTCTCTCTGTAAGCTCCTATAAATTTACAGTCAAGGCCTACACATCTGCAGGCGAGGATACAGGCACCACTGCTTCCATTATGATGGAGCCAGGCAGTATGTGTTCAAATCATTCAACTACATATACCTTTTAATAACATTTACTTTGTGTTTATGTTTAAAGCTACATGAAATGTCCTTGTAAAAAAAGGTTTGCATCATAATATGGTTTAATATAATTTAATAAAATACAATATTTTATGTTTGAATCATTTTTAAATATTTTGTCTTGACACAAGGTGGGCTAGTCCTGGACATTTTGGGTTCTTTGGGAATGGTAACATTATTACTGTTCATTGTTTCCCTCATTTGCTACAAGAAGAGAAAATGGTAAGACTTATGTTCCTGTCTAGTATCCTTTATGTTTATTTGTGTCCTTAAAATATTTTAAGAATTACATGCAAAGCTACATTTCTCAAGATTGAAAGTCGTACTGGAGAAAAATGTGTACCTGACAATGACTTTATGTAACGCGTAATGTTTGATTTGTTTCAGGGTAAAAAGGGTATTCTATCCAGATATACCTGAGCCTAAGCTGTCCAGTGATTGGTCCAGGACTCGGGTACAGTACCATTCTAAACCCGTCTAGCAAATCTTTTTTGATTATGTCTTATGAAAACGCCATCTAATAGGCAAAATACTTTTTCACTTTTCTTGTTCAGGGACCTTTGGATGTGAAGCCATCTCCTCACAGTATGGTCCACATTGTTGAGAGGCCTGAACAGGATTGTATTAAGGACGCCCTTGTTGTTATTCCTGAAGAGGAAGAAGGTGACAAAGGGCATGGCATTGGAGATGAGCCAGTTGACTCTGATGAGCCACAGTCATTACGCTACTACAACCAAGTGGCGGATGAGCGCCCGATAAGGCCACGCTTTCCAGACTCCTCTGTTTCCTCTGCATCTTCTATGGATTCAGCAAGCACAGATGTGACATATACAGGGATCCAGACATCTTGTTCTTCTTTGGTATTCCAGCAAGATCCACAGACCACACCTGAGAGCCACCAACCCAATACTGATCATTCTGTCAGCTGTGGGAGTGGAGGTGGGAGCTACCGACCCCAGATGCACCCCATAACTTTGAGTGAAAACATTGGCCTAGCTTCCCCAGAGCCTTTGCTAGAGCCTCAGGCTGTGAGTTCTGGGGGCTACAAACCTCAGAACTCGTGGCATTTTGACTCTCCTACTGAAGAGGAAAGGAGTGGCCTTGCCCCCTCTCTTGGGTCACCTGTCTCTGTTGCCTCTACTCAGTTCCTCCTCCCTGATGAAGAGGATCACGATGAGGAGAAACTACAACCATCAACATCAGCAGCAACCTGGTTCAGCAACCTGCTGTCTTCTTCAAAACCATAATATCTATTTTTTTCTTGTTAGCAGACAGGCAGTGGAGGTTAACAAAAATGTCCCTCTTTTCCGTTACTAGTGTCATGTAACAACAAGAATGAATGAATCCTTCTAGATGTAGCACAGCATTGTTACAATTTGCAGTTTAACTGCAGGTTAATGATTCTTTTAAGATGTTTATATTAAAATTATACATATGTTGTTCATTTAATCTATTATAGATCAAAATGTATATAATGTAGATAAACTCACGACAGCAAATTTCTTTAGTTTGTTTTACTTGTTTGTTCGTATTTAATGTACCTTCTGAAGACAAAGTGGTGGACTCGCTTGTGAAAGCCTTTTCCTGTGACATGCTGTAATGGGCATTTCATTTTGGTAAATGTTGTATTTCAGCTATGTAGGTCCAAGTTTTTTCTTGTATTTCAGATGTTTTTAGTATTTTATGAAAAGAAAAAGGATGAGTTGCAAACATAAAGTCAGCATCAAAAATAACGCATTTAAAGCTGCACAAAAGCTGTTAAAAGGGGTTGTTAGCAACATCTGGAGTGTTTGTGAAAGGCTGTCTTTAATGTATTTTCAGAGATATCGTCTGCTCTGTCAGAAACACCATAAATGCATTTTTAAACCAGGTCAACATGTTAAATCCACATCGACCAAGTGATTGGCATGAAGCAGCCTGATTGGCTGTTAGACATCATAAACTCTGGATGAGGTAAATGTGATTTTTATTGTTCTGGAGCCTAAATGCTTATCAAATCCATGTACAAATTAATCTAGTTTATAATTTTCCATGTAACATTCCTAGAATTATGTTAGTAAACACTGAATCACTTCTAGCCTGAAACTGTACACTACATTTAATTGTTTACCATGTGGAATAAATTATAGACTCCATTTATGGACTGCAACTGTGCAAATTATTATTATTTTTTTTGCACAGGTGCATGTTCTATACTATGGAGGTTGTGTGTTCATGCAGTTTAATCAGATGGTATGTCTAAAAGCTTTTAGACAGTATTAGTATTTAGACAGTATTAGTATAGTAATTTCTTTAGGTTCTAGAACCTACGGAAAGTACTCATTACAGTACTGTATATGTGACTTCCACCTTTAGTGTTATGCACTTCTGACAGCTGATAACTCACTACAAGAAACGATGTCAAGTTGCTGTAATTAAGAAAAAGCACTGCTTCCATTCTTATTTCAATGTTTTTATTACTGTCTAAATGTTATGGATTATTTTGAAATGCACTTAAAATCATTTGTTTTACACAAATGCAGAAGTGGTGCTTTCTGTTATGGTCTGGAAATCTGAACTCATACACAATAATATAAGCTAGAACATCTCATAAACTGATGTAATTTAATGAACAGATATGATTATTGTTAGGAATTTCTGTTTAGTTTTATTTACCTGTTGTGTTTATTTTAGGCCAGTGTTTCTTTTTGTACCTTTATGTTTTCCTTGATGTGCTGTTGGTGTTAAAGGAAAAAGAAAGTTCATTGTGTGTACAGTCCGTATATGTCATTTAATGCTTCCGATGATTTTCGACAAATCACTTTTATTACTGCCATACCCCTAAATGTTTGCATTCAGTATGTTTTGCAAGGTTCAAAAGGCTATATATAGAGAGCATAGACTTTACTGGAGTGTTTTGAGACAAGGACACAAGTTTTGCTTGTCTCTTGAATGCAAAATGGCAGCTTTTAATTGTTGGAGAAAAGGGATCAAGGGGAAAGCACGTGTTGGGACATGCGTTTAAAAAGGATCAGTATTTCTTTGGAACTGTCTGGGAAATATATTTTATGACAAAACCCTAAACAGCATTCATATGCAATGGTCGTTTTTTTTTACATGCTTGTCCAGTGTTTTGGATTTTATTGGTTTTCGTTTCAGTACGTGTTTTAGGGGTCAAGCCAGAGATTATTGTTTTGTTTGATAGTGGTAAAATGTTTTCAGTGCCTCCAGTCAGCAAGCTTTAACTAAATATACTGTGACACAAAATATATTAGTTACTACATTGGATATCTTCATAAAATCATCATTTTAGTTGAAAAGAGTGCATATCATTTTGAATATTTAAAATGGCTGCAGATTTTTTTTCTTTAAAGTTTGCAGTCCTAAACAAGAATTAGGTTAAAGAATATGTGAGATTATATTTTACAAACACTATGTAATTTGCACTTTTTTAAATTTTCTCTGTTTTTTCCAACTAACCATACATAAGTATTTTTTTTTTATTTCTTCAAAACAAAACTTGTTTATGTGCTGAATTACAAATAGTTTCTAAATAAAAGAAAACCATACTGATTACTGAATTAAAATATTTAAAGTGACCTTTTATAAATTGCTGTGTTATAGAAATAGGTTGCCAGAATATTCACCATTCATACTTGGCAACTGGCATATTTTTCTTTTAGTCTTTCTTTTTTGAATAGCCATTAGAATTGTCATTTCTATTAAAAAGAGGTGCCTAATGTCTCATTTTTGGCCTAGTAAATTCTTGTGAAATTGATGCATGCTATCTAAACAATAAAAAGAATGGCTTGTAAACTAAAATCTTTTGATCATGATACACCTAAAATAGCTTTAAAACACTAACACTGACTAACGTTGCATGATAACATGAATTAAGCATTTTGCATCTGTTAAAAAAAAGTTTTTTCTGAAAGTGATGTAAAATATGGAAGATTATTTTAATAATTAACTGAACAGACTACAAATTGCCTCTGAGCGACTATATAAATGTTAGCATTGATACCAAAAGTTGCTATGTTACTTGTTTAAAGGCAATAAAGTGATTTGTCTGTATATTTGTCTCTTCAAGAGTTGTTTTATTTCAGTAATTAAAAAAAATGTTCACTTGTTTTCTTTCTGTAATTAAAAATAATTTTCACTCCATCTCACTCAAGCCTCCAAAGCGTGCCCCCTTTAGTGTCCCTGGGTAACCCTGTTTATATGTCGCCATGGTAACGGGACAGTTACATTTTAAATACGATAGCATCCAAGTTTGTAGAAGCTATTGGTGAGCTAAAAATGACTGCACGTTTAGGAAAATTAAGTTTAAAGTGAAATTTATTACATATACACGATGTCGGATATATTGTGCAAGTGGCTCAACCAGGATCTAAAGCTGTCCAAAACTTTAGGTATGTTTGAGTTGACCTCATCGCTCTTTGTCGTAATTAAGCTAATGCTAACAGGGTCTTGAGCTCGTGGGTAAAATGTGTTTAATCTGTATTACGTGACGTGACAGACGTCAGGAACAACGGGCGATCGCCACATTTTACTCGGATAGAATAAATATATTTTAATTAGAAGGATTAATGGATGCTTTATTGATCCTACAGGTTTTACATGTTATACTGAGCACAAAATTAAAAATAGTTTTGAAAATTTAAACGAATCTCATCTGGATATAGTTTTTACACATATTGTTGACCTTGAGTATATATATATATATATGTATGTATATATATATGTATGTATATATATATATATATATGTATATATATATATGTATGTAT